TCCTCTATTCGCTCTGACGAACAGCTAAGGCTAGGAACGTCAGCTTTAGAAACTCTCTATGTTGGCCACTTTGCATTATCAACGCTTTTGATAAAAGTTATCTTTGTGATACCCCACCCGCCGCAGCACCACAGTTTCTCTAGAAACTTACCCCGTCTATTCGATTGTTACCATGGTGATGAATAACAGTATAGTGAACTTGTAAAGACTTGCGATGAAACTTTCCCTAAGGAAAATTTTCTCCTTTTCTTTCATTTCGCAGGACGATCGAAAGGAAGGGATGACAGCTTTTGTAGAGAAACGAAGAGCCGAATTCTCGGACAATTAGTGTCTGTTTTTTTCGGAAAGTCGTAGCCAGCGAGAACTTTGGATTGTTGTGTGGGAATGTTAAGGCAGGTGAAAGAATAATGAAAGCTTATGTAAAATTGTGTGAACAAAAACACTTAGTATGAATGTTCACCAAAAACAACTTAACTAGCGAAATAAATAGAAAGAATAAAATAAATAAGGTAAAATCATAGTCATTTTTCGTTCGTTCGCTCATCTGTTGAACGGATACCGTGGGGTATACATTGGGACTGGGGCGAGTGTAGATTTAAGTTCTGGTCAGTTCGATGTGTTAATTAAGACTCGAGCCAGGAATACTAAGTGACGCTGTAAATGACGGCTCTTCAGTAAACTTTCTGGAAAATTAATCCGAGGCAAACCAAGTTTTTTGACTTGTTTCCTCACTGTTCACTTTTCTTTCGTTTGAATCAAATTTTTGGAAGAAAAGGATTTATTTGCTGTAAGGCACAAGAACAAGCCAGAAAGGTCAATGTCTGTATAATTACTTTTTTTTCGTCCACGATTCCCAGCTAGCTTCGACCTTTCGTGCTAGGCATGGTTTTTCTTAATAGTTTTCCGCCACATCAAATATTACGTTGAAATTTTTTTGACTTTTCGTGAATTTTTTCCGAACTGCAAAGCGTTCTTTTCTTCTTCCACTGGAATGTTTGTATTCACGCGCGACGCACGTGATTCGACCAACTAGCCAATCATGTTTAGATCCTTGAACTTGATCTTGAGGTTGACGTGGTCAATTTCCTTAGCACCAGATCAACCTTATATTAAGAAGAAAGCAGTTGTGAAAATTTAATCGTTACGTACCTCTCAACTCAAATAAGTTTTCTGATTTGAGGAGAACATCTCGCGGGCCGGGAATCAAAATACACCAACTTTCTAAGTGAACAAAATCCACTTAGCCCTGAGGGAAACAAGAACTTAAACTTTCGACTCTCAGGTGATAAGGTCGTGCACTGTGAAACTGCAGCAAATGTGAGTGCCAGCCTGCGAAAACAAAATAATTTTTTAGTCATTTTCGAGTTGGGAGGTATAACAAAACACTTTTGAAAATTAAAATCAAAGTGACTGGCCCCACGGGAAACAGTGAGAATTGCCTTACCTTGACCCGCAGTGGAAACAAAACTCATTGTTTCCTTTGGAATCAGTTAGTCGCTTAATTTATCAACATTGCCAGGTGTCTGTATTAGAACTGTCTGTAAGCGAAAGTAAACACCATTAGTAGGGTAGCTAGAGTGCAAAAGGTGAGAAAATAATTAGAGCATCGAAAGAAATATATTTCTTTGCATATTGGCTTCGGTTATTAGATTTAACTAACACAGGTGCAAAACAGGAACACACAAAAACATGTATAGTACAACAGATATACCAACACACTGTGACTCATAAATGTACGAGTTAGAACATGAGAAGGAATCCTGTCAGTTTCATCTCTGAAGAAAACTTTTAACCATGAAATTACATCCTGTAGCTCTTTTTCATTGGGCGAACTTAGCTTTTCTGGTGGGAAAAAGTTGTTTTGTATCCTGAATGCGACTAATTGATACTCATAAAAAACCGGGTACAGAAGAAAAGAAATCCGGCTAACCAAAAAATCCGAATAATCTAGGTTTGCTTCTATTAAAGTTAAAGGCCCCCATGCTTTACTCAATGTAAAGAAACGCTAACCCCAAGTCGTGATCAGTACTTCGTGCAAAGCTGACTGATGCATAATTTATGTATCGGTTCTCGAGCTAATTCTATTTATTTCTTTTAATTATTGTCTCAAGCTTGATTAAAATTGTATGAAAAGTTGACCTTAGAGTTTTTCAATACAAAAATACGAGAGGAGTGGAAGGAAACTGAAGGTCAGAATATACTGGTTTCAAGGAGTAACCAAGTCATTCAATTTGGAGAAATTGGTTAATTTAAACTTCAAAAGAAGATTGCTCTTCAACTTTGACAACAACATAAATCTTGAATAGTCAGCCGCTTCGAGAAATACGTTTGAGTGAGAAGTATATATATAAAAGACCGTTACTACCGCATAAGCGTGAGAAGAAAAGTCGAGGAAAAGTAAGAAAAGGAAGGTGAGTGTGAGTGAGAAACTCGATGTATTTACTTACTATCGCGTGAGTAACTTGTGCAAGTCAGCGGACAAGTTTTAGTCCTTAGCAGGAAAGATAGTTTTATACAACTTGGTAGTTTAAAAAGCCCTCGCATTCTATCGCCAAGTCAGACGGCAAAATTGTAATTAACAAAACCCTAAGGTCACAAAAATATTTGTTGCATCAAAAAAGGGAAAAAGGCGACATTTGTCATCTGTTTTTCTTTCTTTCTTAAATTACAGGATGAGAGGGCATCTAGTTGGTTTCCATTTCTGTCCCGTTCTGTTGAGTGGTGTTGCTTTGTATCTTGTGGCTTTCAGTTCGTCTGCTCGCACTGACTTAAGCAGGGACGAGGTTTTCGAGAGAACTGAAGGTAACATGTGAATGTTTTACACCTCCCGACATAGAGATTTTTTTTTTCCGACGGGATGTGAATGTTTCAAGTGTCATGGGTGAAAAGTCGGATCGGATGACACATTTTGGCTGTGTCATGATAAACTTTACGTTCCCTCCCCCCCCCCCAATAAGGCTCTGGAATAATCTTACGATCCTCCTCATTGACAGACAATTTTCTATACTTCCCCTTTTATACTCTGCCACAACAGATCCCCCATTAAAGAAAATATGAGATTGCCTCAAAATCGGGTAAAAACAGCAGAAAATTTCTACGCTCAACTCTCATAACTCCTAGGGCTACTTCATATTTACCTTTGTGCACTATCAAGAATCAAGATGACCTCTTTAGATAAGATAAAATGCGACACACAAACTGTATCATGAAAGTATCCAAAGTAAACTGTGTGATGATAAAATAAAACACGATTGTGTTTTTTTTCTAGGATTTGAGCTAATTGGTCATATCACCAAGACATTATACACTGACGAAATAAACTGTGGATTCGCATGCCTTCAAGATGAAAACTGCCAATCTTACAACAGCAAATCCGATGCTAATGATGCAAAGAAGGAATGTCAACTGAGTAACCAAACCGAAAAATCAAGTCCGGAAAACTTGAGGCGTAACCCACGTTCTACTTATTATGGAAGAGGTACTGTTGAGTAAGGTGCTTAAAATTATGGAAAAGCTAGTGGAGGTGGGAGGGGGGGTATGAAGGGTCGGGGTATTTTGGTTGTCACAATAAAGTTTTCCTGATCCTTCCATAACGTTCCGAATTATTCTATCGATCTACCTCATTGGCCGCTAATTTTCTTTAGTCCCACCTTTAAACTCTGTTAGCGACGACTGATCCCCTCTCCGTTTCCTTTGAAAACCATGAGATGCCCCCTCCCACCCCTCCCACCCCCTCTTTCCAAGCGAAAAGTGGTGACCTATTTCTAACTTCTGGTCAGCGTATGTATAACATAGCATGTATAACCTTTCCTGAGAGAATATGAAGTTTAAAATCTCTTGCTTTTCCTTATAATGATAGGTTTTCCATTTTCTTAGTTTGAATTGAAAGATGCTATGGATCCTACAAAGATTTCCAAAATCATGAGCTATCTAATAATTACGCGAAAGGAATTACTCATGGAATAAGACCTCTGTGGCGTGTTTTGTTTCTTATTTTGATCCTCTCCTCGTTCCAAATGATTATTCTTCACTTTTCCTATGCAGATAAAAGAGGTTGGGATTCTGCTCATCCGGCCTTCTCCTGTAAAGAAATTCTGGACTCTGGACACTCCAAAGGAGACGGGAAGTATTGGATCGACCCAGAGAAGAGTGGAAACCCTTTGAAGGTCTATTGTGACATGTCAAGATATGGTGGTAAGAGAATGGATTTTTTTTTGAGACACGAGGACTTCAACCGGAGTATGTTTGACTTGGTGCAGTTGTTATTGGAACATTCTGGTCTTGGCTATTCGTATTATGTTTTTAATCAAAACAATGGCAAAATTCTCGAACGTGATTTGTTATCAGCAGACGGCCGATTTGAGCACTAATAGGACAGTGTACGTGTCATGCTTGTAAGTGGACAATGTAATGGGACAGTTAAGGGGACAGTTAACACGTCATGCCTGCCTGAGTAGACAGATAGCGTCATGTGTGCGCTGTTGTCTCGCATTTCGCCGAGTTAACTGTTGTTTTTTTGTTTTTATGAAAACGTATATCTAGTTTTATGAAAACTGATATCTAGTTTTGATTTCTCAAATTTTAACACAGTTTTGATTAATTGGTAACAGGACTTCTGGTCGTCCAATTCTGTCTCTAATGATACTCGTGATTAACAATTCGGTCTCCCGCTTTGCGGTCCTACGATTTTGTTGATCACTCGTATGATTTCAGACCGAATTGGACTCCGCTCGGTTCTGTTACCACTATTAATATGTCCAAAGTTCTATTTACATAGATGTCACCAGATCATTGAGGCTTGTTTTATTTTAGGAGGTTGGCTTCTGGTGTCAAATGTTGAGTTCGGCAGCCCCTCTTCTAAGGTGTCAGTTGAGACATCATACCGTGGGATAGGTAAGTCACACATGGTTCTGCAGAAAAGTGCCATGAACGAGCTCAGAAGACACTTGTCCTTCACTCAGCTGAGACTCCACTGCCACAAGAAACAGGGACGCACATTCCACGTGGTCACCACTTCCAACAGCTCAGGTGAAGCTGTGGTCCAGTACTTCAGCGGTCAGACAGATGAGCAACCGGATGCCTGTGGTTCGTTTGTGAGTTTGAAGTGGGATGACAATTCCAAGTTAGCTGACATTTGCAAAGATTGGGGACTAGTAAGTGGAGAGTGCTTTGTTGGAAAGTGGGGACATGGTGAAGATCAAAACAGACTATACTGGTATCCCGCATTCAAAGTACATGCGTATCACCTTAGGGTCCACTTGAATAACGTTGGTGACCTCAACGTAATGCAATGCGATGATGTTGCCTCTCAGACCGTTAACACAATCGGCGATTTCTGGAGAGTATTTGTTCGTTAGTTGCGTTTAACTCAGACCTGTCTGTACACCAAGCAACCCTGGACTGTGCGAATAACAGTAACAAACGAATAAAGCAAAATAAAGACAAATGCACCGTTACCTTCATCAAGTTATAAGAATTGTTTTTGTTTCCATTTCGGGGCAAGGGAAAGCAATCCTCACTGTTTCCGGTGGGGCCAGTTTGAAAATATTTTCTCATACATCCCAACTCGAATATGAATGCCAAAAATTACTTTTGGTACGTAGGCAGGCACCCACATTTGCTGCGGTTTCACGGTGAACGACCTTAGCACGCGAGAGTCGAAAGTTGAAGTTGTTGTTTTTTCGGGGGCTTAGGGAATTGTGTTCACCCTAGAAAGTTAGTGTATTTTGATTCACGGCGCGTGACATATTCAACCATCCAATCTAAAAACGTATTTGAGTTGAGATGTACATAACTATTAAATTTTCACAACTGCTTCCTTCTAAATAAAGGTTGAACTAGTGACCACGTCAGTGTTAAGTTCAAGAATTCTAAACATGATTGGCTAGTTGATCGGATCGCGAGCGTCGCGCGTGAATACTAAAAATTCCAGAGCAAGAGAAAAGAACACTTTGCAGTTCGTAAACAATTCACGACTGACTCGAGAAAATTTCAACGACCTGTTTGATATGGTGGGAAGCTATTGAGAAAAACTATGCTTCGCACAAGAAGTCGAGGCTAGCTAGCTGCATGGGAAACCTCCCAGACAATAAAAAAGTAATCATACAGATATTGACCTTCAACCCCTCAGGGAATTGGGGGGAGGATTTTTTTTCCACTTTTTAGACATGACACGAGTTTTTATACTGTAGCAAATCACTATCGAAGAAATTTTAATTTTCAATGATTGAGAGGTTTATATCAAACACAATAACCGGGCATTATATATATATACTTTTTTTTTATTGTGTTCAGAGCTTCACACAAGTTAAGAACGATACTATGCTTTTAGTACCCATAAGCTCCTTTTCCTCCAGGTTTTCTGTCGACTCAAATCTCGATATCAGCAACGTCATGTGCCTCTTGGAAGAAAACGTTGTCGTCGTGGCGGACCGGAGAAGGTTACATAAGAGCTCTTTTCATACCGCATGCAGTTTACAATTAGGAGGCTAGAATAGTAGTCATTCCATACAGAGGGGGTTCTCCTATCATATCGAAGGTCTCTGTGTCAGAAGGTCCACTAAAACTCACACGAGCGACAATCTCGCTAAGAGGTCGAGACTGGACATTGCTTATTTAAAGATCAGTGGTATCTATGTTCTCTCAGTGATGCAATGCCGATGCCTCGCGAGCAGATTTGCTCGATTGTTCATGACAAAATACTGTAAACGAATAATAGCTATAACTCATGTTTGTTGTATTTAGCTAGTTGTCGAGAGAGGATTTGTCCGTTAATTTTTCTAGTTTTTAATTTAATCCTTACTGGCCTTACGCCTAGCCATGGTAAGAATTCTCAATTTTACTACCTCGATAAAATAAATGACAAAAATACAGATAAAATGCATCATTTTACACGACAGCGCACTCACGGTCTAGACAGTCAGAACCATAGCTAGGAAACGTAATAAAGCGATTCATTGTTTTAAGACGGCGAAACTACAGCTAGAAGGCCTCTAAAAACTATAAAAACTATAGGGTTGTGACGTAGGACCCCACAAAGACTGTTCCATTTCAAGCTTGACTTGTCCATTTCACTTTTGTATTTTTGGCGGTTACGGCGAAAACCAACTGCTGTAACACTAAACCATTTCGGTTTCTACTAAACTTATTGTCGTCACGCTAAACCATTTCACTTTACGGTGAGTAGATTGATGCGATAATGAGCCATTGCGGCCTACTATCAACCATTTGCCGATAGCTTGAGCCATTTTACACTACTCTGAACTGTTTGTGTCAAGTCACTGAACCAAAGTACAGTTAGCTGAACCGTTTGTCATTTCGACACTGAGTTGAGTAACTTTTGCAAGCCAGCGGACAAGTTTTAATCCTTAGCAGGGAAGGTTCCTTTATATGAGCTGGTAGTTTAAAAAGCCCTCCGTATTCTTTCGCCGAGTCAGACAAAGTGTAATTAACAAAACCCTAAATTCACAATCAGAACTATTTGTTACATCGATAAAGGGAAAGCGCGACATTTGTCATCTGTTTTTCTTTCTTTCTCAAATTACAGGATGAGAGGGCATCTAGTTAGTTTCAAGTTCTGTCCCGTTCTGTTGAGTGGTGTTGCTGTATTTCTTGTGGGTTTTAGTTCGTCTTTGCACACTGAGGTGTTGACTCGCCAAATCAATATAGTATAACTTACTGACGTCGAACGATTTTGGCTGTGTCACGATAATTTTTACATGATTCCCCCTCCCCTCAATAAGGCTCTGTAACAATCTTACAATCCCCCTCTTTGGCAGTCAATTTTCTACACCTTCGGTTTCTCTTTATACTCTGTTAGCCACAACAAATCCTCCTAAAAATCTCTACGCGCAACTCCCATAACTCCTAGGGCTTCTTCATATGATGACCTCTTAAGACAGGGTAAACAACTACACACAAACCGTATTATGAAAGCATCAAAAGTAAATTGTATAATAAGAAAATGAGACACGATTATGTTGTTTTTCCAGGATTTGAGCTAATTGGTCATATCACCAAGACATTATACGCTGACGAAATGACCTGTGGATTGAGATGCCTTCAAGATGAAAAATGTCAATCTTACAACAGCAAATCCGATGCTAATGATGCAAAGAAGGAATGTCAACTGAGTAACCAAACTAAAAAACCAAGTCCAGAAAACTTGAGGCATAACCCACGTTCTACTTATTATGGAAGAAGTACCGTTAATTAAGGTGCTTAACTTTAGGAACAAGTCATATTTTTATCACCTGGGCGGAGGGGGAGAAGAGGGAGAGGGAAAAGTCGGAGCATTTTGGTTTCACAATAAATCGAGTTGGTCAATTTTCTTTAGTCCCACCTTTAAACTCCGTCAGCGACGACTGATCCCCTCTCTGTTCCCATTGAAAACCAGGATACCCCCCTCCCCCCGCAAGACCCTCCTACCCCTCCCACTCCCTTTTTCTTAGCGAAAAATGGTGACGTATTCCTTACTTCTACTAAGCGCTTTTCAGAGAATCTAAAGTTTATATTTCTGCTCATCCGGCCTTATCCTGTAAGGAAATTCTGGACTCTGGGCACTCCAAAGGAGACGGGGAGTATTGGATCGACCCCGAGAAGAGTGGAAACCCTTTGAGGGTCTATTGTGACATGTCAAGATATGGTAATAAGAGAATAAGTTTTTTCTAGAGACAGAAGGACTTAAACCGCAGTATGTTTGACTTGGAGCACTTTTTATTGGAACATTCTGGTCTTGGCTATTCGTGCTTTCTCTACAAAGATCCTTATTACGTTTTTCAATCGAAACTGTAACAAAATTCTCCAACGCGATTGGTTATCACCAGCCGGCCGATTTGAGCACAACAAGACAGTATACGCGTCATACTTGTAATTGGACAGTGTAATAGGACAGTCAAATGGACCTTTAACACGTCATGCCTGTATGGGGAGACAGAACGCGTCATGTGCACGCGCTGTTGTCTCACATTTCGCCGAGTAAACTGTTGTTTTTGGTTAACAATCAAGAGCTTGTTTGATTGATGATCATTTCCTTTATTCTCATGACTTTAATGTGTGATTCAGGGCTGATATTGTAAGGAGAAACTAGATGCTAATCACTCTTTGGGGTCAAAGAGTGAAAATTTGCTTGAACTTAAAAAAAAAAGGTGATGTGATTTGGGGAAGTAAAGACCCGTAATCAGGAAAGATCATAGGAGTAAGATGGCTTTTTTATGAAATGGAAATTTTTTTATTCTAGACTCTATCTTATATTGCTGCTTTTATGTTCTTTAACCCTTTAACTCGCACAAGTGACCAAGACAGAATTTCTCTTTACACTATCAATACAATATTAACCAGATAAGTGGTGAGAATAAAGAAAAATTTCAATTTGGGGATAATTAGTTGATCCAATATTAAATTCTTCAAACTAAAATTATAAGAATTGTATGGTTGACAATAAGTAGAATTACAAATTTGATCTGGGAGTTAAATGGTTAACTGTGTCAAGATTGCTTTCATTTTTTTAGGTGCCGGTGGTACACAGCGACTTCCAAGAGCTGTTGGGAAGTCCCTGGCTATGGAAATGATACTAACAGGAGATCCTATTTCAGCAGAAGATGCACAGAAATCAGGTCCATGTTCCTTTCAACTTAGCTCCTATTTTTGACCAGTTGTTCATCATTACCTCTTTACCTTACAAAGTCGATCAACATGCAACTTCTCCCTGTAATAAACATACATCATCCAGCAAACGGGTAGCGAGAATATTAAAACTTATCAGTTCAAAGTTGTTATTTTGATCTAACATCAAAAAAAGGAAATGTGTAGCAGCTAGAGGGGAGAATTAACAATCAGATCTTGGGGGTTAAGGGGTCAAGGAGGGAGGTACTTAGCATCGTAAGTCTTCCCGGTGGCACAAGGAAATTCTCACACAAATTATTGAGAAATGTGTACAGTACTTCCACATTATCAAGGACTGCAACGGAGACACACTGTTTTATGCTAAGTCAGTGCTCTGCTAAACACTTGTATAAACCTGGAAAATTCGAGTCAAGGCGTAGATTTTTTCCCTATGCTTGTTAGCATTTCCGCGAACGAACTAAACCGGTCACTTCCGAAGATGTCCGCACACCTCCGAAGACGTTTTTCAGAGTTTACGTAAACTTGCATTTCTTCAGTACTCTCCTCTCTTACTAATAGCTCTCGGCAAAAGTTATTCGCGCCAACCTTTCTCTTCGTTTTGATTCGTACATTTGCTCTGTATACTTTTTCAAAAAGTCGCAGTTAAGGCAGCGTTGTCAGTTAGGTTTAAGGGTTTATAAAAGTATGAACTTGGGGCATGCTCTCCTGTGATAAAACTGCATACACTTCTGAGAATTATTGGCGTCGGCTTTGTCAGGTGGGACATTGCGCACTCATTCTCGAGATTTTTCTTCACTTAGATCTAAATTCAAATTACAGACTTAAAAAATTTTCATTTTTTCTTAAGCCTGGTTAGTAAGTCTTCCCCGCAGAAGAGCTCGTAGATGAAGCTATCAAGACAGCTGTAAAAATATCACGGCAAAAAAACTAGCGTTCACCGTACGGAAGACTTAGATTGAATTCACGGAAAACGCGGCATTTTTCAAACGTTTACTCATGTTTTGCCGTACGGAAAATGCAACGTTTTCTGTGCGTTTTCGCATCGGTGAATCCCAGTATTCGTTCCATTATACGATAGTTTTCCTTCGCGGTAAATGCAGGTAAACAAATCATTTTCCGGCATTAATCGCTCGGTTAACGCACTGCAAACAGCTTGTTTTCTTTTTATTCCTTGGCATTTTCCAAGTGTACAACAACGCATTCACTGGAGTCAGGAACACACAAAAACATGTATGGTACAACAGATATACCAACACACTGTGAGTCATAAATGTATGAGTTAGAACGTGAGAAGGAATCCTGTCAGTTTCATCACTGAAGAAAACTTTTAACCTTGAAATTTCATCTTGTAGTTCTTTCAGTTTTCACTAGGCGAATTTAGCTTTGTTTGGTGGGAAAAAGTTACTATGTATCCTGAATGCTACTGATTGATACTCATAAAAAACTGGGTACAGGAGAAAAGAAATCCGGATAATAAAAACAATCCGAGTAATCTAGGTTTGTTTCTAATTAAATTCCCCCCAAGCTTTACTCGAATGTAAAGAAACGCTAACCCCAAGTCGTGATCAGTACTTTGTGCAAAGTTGACTGATGCATAATTTATGTATGGGTTCTTAAGCTGTTTCTATTTATTTATTTTAATCATTGTCTCAAGGTTCGTTAAAATTGTATGAAAAGTTGATAAAAGAGTTTTTCGATACAAAAATACGAGAGGAGTGGAAGGAAACTGAAGGTAAGAATATACTGGTTTCAAGACGATTGCTCTCTAACTTTGATAACAACATAAATCTTGAATAGTCAGCCGCTTCAATAACTGCGTTTGAGTGAGAAGTATATTTACAAAAGACCTTTACTACCGCATAAACGTGAGAAGAAAAGTCGAGGAAAAGTAAGCAACAGAAGGTAAGTTTGATTGAGAAACTCGATGTATTTACTTACTATCGGGTGAGTAACTTGTGCAAGCCAGCGGACAAGTTTTCATTCTTCTCAGGGATGATACCTTTATACGACTTGGTTGTTTAAAAAGCCCTCGCATTCTTTCGCCGACTCAGACAAAGTGTAATGGACAGAACCCTTAACTCATAAAACTATTTGCTGCGTCTAAGAAGCTTAAGGCAAAAGGACGAAATCCGTCATCTGCTTTTCTTTCTTTCTCAAATTACAGGATGAGAGGGCTTCTAGTTGGTTTCCATTTCTGTCTCGTTCTGTTGAGTGATGTTGCTTTGTTTCTTGTGGCTTTCAGTTCGTCTTTGCACACTGACTTGAGCAGGAACGAGGTTTTCGAGAGAGATAAAGAAAACACGTGAATGTTTTATATCTCCCTACATGGTGATTTTCTTTTTGCCGACAGGATGTAAATAATTCAAGTGCCATGGGCGAAAACTCGGATCGGATGACATAGATTTTGGCTGTGTCATGATAAACTTTACATGATCCCCCCCTCCCCCCCATAAGGCTCTGTAACAATCTTACGATCCTCCTCATTGGCAGTCAATTTTCTATACCCCCTTATACTGTGTTGGCCACAGTATCCAAAGTAAACTGCATGATGATAAAATGAAACACGACTGTGTTGTTATTTTAGGATTTGAGATAACTGGTCATATCACCGAGGCATTATGCGCTGACGAAATAAGCTGTGGATTGAGATGCCATCAAGATGAGAAATGAAAATCTTACAACAGCCAATCCGATGCTAATGATAAAAAGAAGGAATGTCAACTGAAGAACCAAACCAAAAAATCAAGTCCGGAAAACTTAAGGCGTAACCCCACGTTCTACATATTATGGAAGAGGTACTGTTGAGTAAGGTGCTTAACATTATGGAAAAGTTAGTGGAGGTGGGGGTTGGGGGGTGGAGTATTTTGGTTGTCTTAATAACATTTACTTGATCCCTCCATAACGTTTTGAATTATTCTACTAATCTTCCTCACTGGCAGTCAATTTTCTTTACTCCCACCCTTAAACTCTGTTAGCGACAACTGATCTCCTCTCTGTTGCCTTGAAAACCATGAGATTCCCCCCCCCTTCGAAGTACCTCCTACCCCCTCTTTCTAAGCGAAAAAATGGTGAACTATTTCTTACTTCTGGTCAGCGCTTTTCAGAACTCTCTCAAGTCACGTGTAGATCCATGTATAACCTTTCCCGAGAGAAAATGAAGATTAAAATATCTTCCCTTCCCTTATAATGATAAGTTTTCCATTTTCTTAGTTTGAATTAAAGGATGCCATGAATCCTACAAAGATTTCCAAAATCAGGAGCTATCTAATAATTACGCGAAAGGAACTACTTATGGAATAAGACCTCTGTGGCGTGTTTTGTTTCTTAGTTTGATCCTCTCCTCGTTCCAAATGATTATTCTTCTCTTTTCCGATGCAGATAAACGAGTTTTGGATCCTGCTCATCCGGCCTTCTCCTGTAGGAAAATTCTGGGCTCTGGACACTCCAAAGGAGACGGAGAGTATTGGAACGACCTTGAGAAGAGTGGAAACCCTTTGAGGGTCTATTGTGACATGTAAAGATAGGATGGTAAGAAAATGAATTTTTTTTTGAAACGAGAACTTTAACCGGAGTGTATTTGACTTGGAGCAGTTGTTATTGGAACGTTCTGGTCTTGGCTAATAGTATTATGTTTTTAATCAAAACTATAACAAAAGTCACAAACGTGATTGGTTATCATCAGCCGGCCGATTTGAGCACTAATAGGAGAGTGTACGCGTCATACTTGTAATTGGACAGCGTAATAAGACCGTAAAGGGGCAGTTAACGCGTCATGCCTGCGTGAGTAGACAGACAGCGTCATATGTGTGCTGTTGTCTCGCATTTCGCCGAGTTAACTGTTGTTTTTTTGTTTTTATGAAAACGTACGTCTAGTTTTATGAAAACTGATGTCTAGTTTCTTTCTCAAATTTTAACACAGTTTTGATTAATTGGTAACAGGACTTCTTGTCGTCCAATTCTGTCTGTAATGATAGTCGTGATTAACAATTCGGTCTCCCGCTTTGCGGCCCTACGATTTTGTTAATCACTCGTATGATTTCAGACCGAATTGGAATCCGCTCGGTCCTGTTACCATTATTAATATATCCAAAATTCTATTTACATGGATGTCACCAGATCATTTAGGTTTGTTTTATTTTAGGAGGTTAGCTCCTGGTGTCAAATGTTGAGTGCCTGTAGCGTATTACTCCAATTCGAATGCGATTTTTCGGCCGGAGCTGTTAATCATTTGCGGTGATGTCGATGTAAATCCAGGACCTGTGAGTAAACGAAAGCAAGCAAGGTCTACTGCTCCAACGTGTCCTGTTTGTGAGAAAGCAGTTGCAAAAAATCATAAACGCTTTATCTGCTGGATATGTCACGATATGATGCATGTTAAATGTTCAAACTCTATGGCTGATTTTCGAACTTTCTCTGCTTCATCGCCCGTTTCGTGGATTTGTAATCGATGTGCTTTCGCATCATTACCATTTCTCAACGACAGCTCACAAGATTCTCATTTTGGCGTTCTTGAAGGAGAAGAAGGGGACTCTAGTTTGCTTTCTTCTTTATCGCCCACTCCAGTCGAATGGTATAAAGAAAATATTAAAGGCTATTACAAGAAAAATCTCTCGACTGGCCACCTCAACAGAAACAGTATCATTGGCAAAATAGATGAGATTTTGGATCTACTAAACGAATGCCGTTTTGACATTCTCTTTATCTCTGAAACGAAGATTGACAAGTCTATTTCCACAAAGTTATTATCCAACCCACATTACCGTGTCATCAGGAATGATAGAAAAAGGGGTGCCGGTGGTCTATTAGCTTATATTCACGATTCTTTAACTGCGAGAAGACAACTCAAGCTTGAACCAACTGGTGTAGAATCTATTTGCCTCAACGTAAAGGGGAATACAAATACAAAGTTTTTCGTTTGTGCCTATTATCGCTCTCCAAGTAAGTTTAAAGTCACTGACTTCATCTCTGCCTGTTCTACTGCTGCAGAAAACATGCTAAAAATCAAGAATGAAATCGTATTTATTGGAGATTTTAATATTGATATGATGGACTATGTTGATGGGAATTTGCATAATACGAATAATCCTTTGGCTGATTTCTGCGATCGCTATTGTCTCTCAAATACAATAACTGAACCAACAAGGGTTAATAACACAAGTGAAACCCTAATTGATGTGATCCTAGTTAATCGAACTGAGCGATGGACAAAGAGTGGCACGCTGAAACTTGGAATAAGTGATCACGATCTTGTATACATTGTGAGAAAACTACGCCTAACGAAATCGAAAGTGCAAACGATTGAGTCCAGAAGTATGAAGAAATTTAATGAAGCCTCTTTTTGTTGTGATTTATCTACTGCTCCATGGGACAGTGCTT